GCATCTTTAAGTAGATCAGGTCGCTCAGAGCTCTGTCCAACCTGACCTCAAATGTTTCCAGGGATGAGGCATCCTGTCTGGGAAACCCATGACAGTGTTTCACCATCCTTGTGAAAAGCTTTTTTCCTTTTACTAGTCTAAATTGACCCTCTTTTACATTAAATCATTATCCTTGTCCTATCAAAATAGGCCCTGATAAAAAGCTTGTGCCCATCTTTCATTTAGAATCCCTTTAGAAAGTGCTATAGAGTCTTCCTGGAGCCTTCTTTCCTCCAGGGTGAATACCCCTAACTCTTAGCCTGTCTTCACGGGAGAGATATTCCAGTCCAAGATCATTAACCATAATGATGTTGTTTGTGGTCTCTTATCTCAATTGGTAGATCACAGAATCTCTGATTTCTGCTTTACAATCATCATTACAGGGTCTAAAATTCTTCCAAGCATAACCTCTTAGTAAGGGAGGCCATAGCCCTCACCTTTCCTCAAGCAGATCCTCATGATTCTACTGATCTGACACTGGATTATGCCACTAGTGGGCCCTTTCCCTTAATGTCTAAATAACTTTCCCTATTCGGATGTACTTACTAAATCTACATTTTCCAGGGAAATCATATGAGCTTTCAAGTCTCTCTGAAAGCCTTATCAATTCAAGTTGCAATCAGAACACACAAAGCATGCCAGCAGTGCAAGCCTCAATGGAATACTGTCCATGTAGAATCTATCTGCCCTTCTGCACCAAGGTTTCCAAGTCAGTTAAATTCATCAACAATCACTATATAAAAAAATCCGTATCCTACAAAAACAGTATCACAAAAACTCTCTCAATCTGAAGCTGTTTGCTCCGCACCAATTCTACACCAGGCTTCCCATCCCTAAGAAAGGTGCACTCCAGAACAGTTGCCAATTCTCTGCTACACTGTACAGTAGCTGCACAACTCAACATAGACTGCTGAATTTGTTTGTGAAGAGTCAGAAACGCTCCCTCTCTCAGAAAAAACATTGTCTTGTTCCCTCCTGTGCCCTGCATTTGACAAGTGAACTCATTGTCCCTAAAGGATTCAACACAAACAAAATTCACAACAGTCAAGTGACTGCTAATTCACCAAACCAATTACAAGTGTGTCAGCTGCCTGCCCACTCAGATTTTACAGGCTTACTATAGTAGGGAGTTTTCAAGATATTAGAAGGAAGACTTCACACTAACAAAAACTGATATCCTGACAACAGAAATCTACACACAGCAGCAAAAGAAACAACTTGGCAGAAAGTTCAGCAGAAAATTTCTCAGGGCCACCAAATCCTGCTTTTATGTTTAAGTTTCTTAAAAAGAAAAATCTCTTGTAGCCTGTACATGGAAGGCAGGTATTGAATAAAGAATAGCTGGAGGAAGTAAAAAAAATTTCTCAGTTCTTGATTGATATTTCTCCTGTCTTCATTTGAAGTTTATTTCTTTTACTGTCTTAACATTACATGGAATTTAACTCCCATTCTCTTTTCACAGTAAATCACAACCTTCAACAAGACCTAACATAAAGGTTTGTAATGTTACTTTTTCTAAATATCAACACAATTACTTACTCCTTTCATATTATATTGAAAATATAGCTTAGGGTGATATCCTAGCTTTTATCCTGGCAAGCTTTCTTTTAAAAGAATTAAAAGTCCTCTCACAAAGAGAGGTGACAGAGTAGAACACAGGCCATCATGGATCTGATAATTAGATTTTTTTTTGTGCTTTATATCACCATTACAAATAAAAGCAGCACCTCCTTTAGTAGTAATACATATAATTATTTGCTAAGGCCTGTTTACCAGCAATTGTCAAGACTTTTATTCCTTGCAATTTATGCTAACAATCATTTCTTCACTTGTACTCACTCTTTGCTAATCTTGTATTTGTTCTAGGTGTACTACTTTTCCCTTGCCATGATTATATTTTTTTCCTGGATTGCTTCTGAATATTCAGTCTGGTAGGTGAGTTCTAAAATGGAAGTGCAGTCCTGTGAGTAGATCAAAAGAAGCAGTGGTTTTCCCTCTAACAGCTGAATCTACCTAGATTAGGTGGCATGACAGAAGTGAATGGGTTTCTAAAGGAAGCATCTGTCAGATTAACTCTAGAATCAACACCACATCTGTAAGAAAACTATACCTGAAGACTAATCCGTGGTTTTCCAAACCCATCCAGTCTATTTTCACTACTTCGCATCCCCTGCAGGGAATGCATACCTCCCACATTGTTAAAAGCTGATGCAGTTGACAGGAAAGCCTATGGGACAGCAAACACAGCTTCCCAGTTTTCTATTAGGAAAGACTTCAGTTGCTCTCTGCTCATTCTTCTTGAAAGATACCCCCTTACCCCACTGTAGTTCTGTTGCTAAAGATTTAACTGATGATTCCACAGGAGAAGTGGAAATTGCATCTGTTACACAATGATATACTGGATTTAAAAATGACACTGTAACAGTTAAATCTACATCCCCCCTACTCTGATATTCCTCCCAGCCTTCCTTTATGAACATGTACAACTCATCAGACTCATCTTCTGCCATCTGCTGTTTAGTTCCACCTTCCACTACATGAATACACAAAATGCCAAGGAGAAAGTACCATTCTGAGCTGGTCTGTACTTAAAAAAACCACAGTCTACTTTAAAAAGCAGAATGAGTAGACTACAACTTCATAGACTATGATGAAGTCATTTACAAATCATTGCTTGATTTCATCCCTAAGAAACGAGACATTGGGACTACTCTGCCTAAATCATTCACAGGGCAACACCATACTTCCGGGAGTGCTCTCTTTCCAGCAACAGGCAGGGACTTTGCCGGACACAGAAATCTGGATACTTTCCATACTGATGGGTCCAGTCACATCCCAGTCTCTGCTGTACAGCCTTTCCAATTACTACATGCAACAACGGTGCACATGAGTTACTTAGATATGGCTGGGAAAAACCACATTCTATCTTATATAAAAGTGTACTACAGTCTGCTTAAAGGAACTTACTTTTGTTCTCTCTTGCTCAGAAGTCTCCAGATTTAACCAGTCATTTCAGTTGTATAAAATATAGATGCCCACTTCAATGTCAGATGTCAGGAAACTTGGGTTCATTCCTTCAACTTTACAACAACATTTGACTTTTGTGCTGTAGCCAGCCCCTAAGAGAAATGGAACAAGTTGGAAGACATTGTTAGCACTGCCAAAAAATTCAATTGATATTACTTTTAAAAACTTCAGAAAGGAAGCAAAACCCCAGAGTAGTTGTAATTAAAAACATTCTGGAGAAAGGAAACAATAAAAGGAAAACAGTACTAGTTCTTTTTATGTTTTACCTTATGTCAGGAAGTTTGGCATCACATAGATGGAACTGAGAACTTTCTCTTCTAAAATTCTAAGAACTAGTTTTAAAATGTTGCTAAGTCAGTCTCTTTTCCCAAATACACTTAGGAATGACTTTCATATGAAAAGCTATGTAACTCGGCAAAGTCAGAAGCAACAGACCACGAAACAAAACGTTTATTTCTGCCCAATTCAAGTTCTTAGAGAAACTATTTTTTGTAGTTGCTAGAGAGTATTTTGTGTCCTTTAAAACAACACACACGGTATCCACCGGTTTACAGTTATTTCTCATTAAATCAGTCGTGCACTCTAAATTAACTATTGGTAATTAACTCTGTAACTCTACATACAGGAATACAATAGCACTGGAGCTTGATCAGCCTTGATGACGCTACATGCCCATGTGTTCAGCGTGTTTTCTGCAAGTTTCCTTCTGACCAAGCACAGAACGATAAACATGCAAAAAGGGAGAATTCTACATTTTATTGAAAACAGCTCTATAGCTCAACTCCTGGGACACTTGCAACACAATGAAGTCACATACAGCACCAGAAATTGTGTGTGTTAACACTCTGTTAATAACTGTACAGCCTAACTTTTTTAATCATCTAAACACAAATTAACTTTAAAAAGAAAACTACAGCAAGGAAGAGGTTCTGGTTTTACATCACACTATTCCTGTACCACATCAGACACCTGGTCCTTCGAATACGGCTAAAGATAAACAAATGTATGGCTACTAGCAAACAATGGGCAGAATTCCTGCCCCAGAAAAGTAGGTGTGCTACAGAGCCAAGCTACTTTTTAAACATCCAGTTTTCGTCAGTGCCTGTTGTGGCAAGCCAACCTACAGACCCTCAACAAAACATTCTCATAATTTTAACACTGAGTTCATCTATGCTGGCTTTATAGCACTAAGAAAAATGGGGTTTTCTGTGAAAAAAGTTAATATCCCTCTGACGCTCCTAAAACACATACATCTGAAAAAAAACCCATATTAACAAACCAAAACCCACCAACTACACAAAGTAGAAAACATGCCTTTTGACTGCCACAACACAAAAACCAGCAAGCAGAAAGTCTGTCACAGAATAGTAAGAATAATTTCTTGCTTTAACTCAACTAAAAAGTTTGCTCTGAAATGGAAGGTTTCAGCTCTTCAGCCGTGAACACTGAAAGAAGTCACATACCTCAGAACAAAATTTAAACCATTCAGATATGAACACTACAGCGGCTTAAAGGTCGGAAAGCGAATCAAGAGCACTCGGGATATTTTCACATCATAGAAGATTTAACACGAAAAGTAAAAATTACACTTCAGAGGTGTCTTTCCTGAATCACACTTCGGCAACGTCTCGCTCCCAGATGGATACTGCACATTAGGAGAATCAGGAGTAGCTGGAGCCAAGAGGCCACAAATAGCCCAGGCAACCGAGCCCCGCCAGCCGCTAGGCCCCACCGACACCCTCCACACCCACGGACACCCCCTGGGCCTCAAACAGACACTCCTGAGCTCCGCACCCTACAACGCCTGGGCCCCACACGGACACTCCTGGGCCTCAAAGACACACAGCGGTCCCGCACCGGCACTACCCGGCACTACCCGGTACTCCCCAACACTCCAGGGCCCCACCGACAGCTAGCGATCTCACAGCACCCACCGACACTTTCCGTGGCGCCGCCACCACCACCGCCGCCGCGGCGAGCCCGAACGCAGCGCTTACGCGACGGGCCCGCGCCCGTCCCACGCCGCGGGGGCTACCGGGAGCTACGGTCGAGGGGCGGGGGTGTGGGGAGCCGGGCGGGGTTTCAGAGAGGGGCGGGGCGGGAGCGGCCTCCTCAGGCCATCGGGGCGGGCGGGGGCTCAATGGGCTGAGGCGCCTGGGGCTGTTGCCGGCCATTCACGTCGCCGTCCCCGCCCGGCAGAGTGCTCCCGAAGGAAACACCCGGGGAAAAGAGAGGGGAGGAAAAATATGCGCGGCCAGTGTGAAGCGGATTAAGCTGATGTAGTGATCAGACACCCCTAGCCTTCTGGATTGGGGTTCTGGTTCTGGACACCAATGATCACTATAATAAAAGGAGTAAACTATTAGAATAAACACTATGCTAAAACAAGTAGAAAAAATGGTAAATGCAAATGGCAGAATGATTTTACATCATTCATGTAAAATTAAATAAAAATTGTCCATAAAATGGCCTGTTGGCCCTGTACGGGGAACAGCTGTGTATGTCTGGAGGGCAGGGTGGAGATCGGGGCACTCTATGATCTGATGGTCTCTGCTCTCAGGGAAAGAGGATTTGTGATATTGTCAAGCCTGTTTGATGTCATAAAGCATATTTTTGAGTTACAAAACAGCAGTGTCCAACTTCTCCAGTGGTGTGACAGACCCTAACTTGATCTCCCATCAGTGGAAGGACAATTCCTCCCTGCTTGCAGGACTGGGTACCACAGAAGAGCTGATCAAAGATAAAAAAAAGTAAACACAAAAAGTAACTTGGGTTCCTTTGTGACTAGTTAGGAGCTCCACACTCAGTTTAAGAGGATCTCACAGACCCAGCAGTCCCTCCCCTCACACCTGTGCAGGGCCAGCACTGGCTGCTCTGGGGGAAGATCATCCTCCCTGCCATTTCATAAACATCATATCAACGACTGTATCAAAGATATCATATCACCTCTGCTTTTTTGTGTCTTCTTGAAAAAGTCTTCCAGTTTAATTTTGGCAGTTATTTCTTCTCTATGAACAGTAACACCATCTGAAGAGCTGACTCTGACCTAAAGGCTTTTTGAGGTGAGCCATGCATTTGTACAATTCTTCTTTCAGAAGCCACAAGACAGTAATTTTAATAATAATTTTATGCCTTACTTTTAGGTGTCACCTTTACTATCAAAAATTTACATGTGGAATTCCAAAAACTTTAGAAAATCAAAACCAGAAAAACACAAGAGAACTGGACTGGTGCCTCTTGCAACAGAAAAACGTGTTTCTGGAGTGAAAAATATTTTTCTACAGTAAGCATGGAACTGTGTGTTTTATGTTAATAAGCAGCAGGAGTAAGCAGTGAGCAAAAGGAGATGAAATGATCACCTCCCTCACACAAACAGTCTTGTCTTCTGGTATGATATATCTTTGCCTCCGACATTATCCTTTCAGCAAAGATTAGCTGAAAAAAATCCACTGATGCAGTTTTGAAGTCTTGCTTGGATGTATTCCAATGTGGTATTTCCAATCATAAATCATGTATTGTTACATATACATATACATATACATATACATATACATATACATATACATATACATATACATATACATATACATATACATATACATATACATATGTATGACATTTGTGTATATACACAGAGGATCCTTTACTTGATCAGTCTTTCAAGGTTTCATTCAAATCATATTTTAAATATTTTTCTCTGTCATCATGAGAACTAGAACTCATTTCTGACACTTCATGACTCAGATCACTAAAAGTGCTCTCCCCAAATGTTCTCATAAATTTATTTCCATCAGTTTTGTCCTAGATTTTTTCCAACCTGGCTTATGCCCTTTGCAATTCTTTCATAAGACAAAATCTCAAACAGCTCATATGACCTTTAATGATCACAACTATTATTCCACCTGAATCTTTCAAGTGAAATACTTTCCACCCTTGTTCAGTGACTGACCTGCCCCTTTTTTTTCCTCCTACATTTCTAAGACACCTACTGGCACATTTTTGAGAGACTGTTTCTTACATGCCTTCTGGCTTTCAATCGGCATTAACCAGGCCTTTCTCCTAGGGTTTCTGCTTCAGCCACTTCACGGTTTATCCCCAGCTAATGTGTACGACAACCACAGCTCAAATGACCTTTTCCACTCATTTTTTTCCCAGCTATGCCTCCTCAATGAAGATTGACTTGCTTTCCTAAAAAACTTTAGCTTGTATCTCTAGTACCTTCTTATAATTCTTCTGTGTGACTTCACCTTCCACTGCATTCAGTCACAAATGTCCTGTGAATCCCACACCTGCATGGTCAGGCACCCAAAGGTGACATGAACTGGAAGAAATGTGCTTAGTCCCCTGACTGATGATTGACCCAATAGCTCCTTGGATCTGCAAGAGTGTAAATTATTAACACTTTGTTAATTATGTGGGACATGAGAGGGGTGTGGGACATGTTTAGGCTGTCTCTGCATTTCTGAGCCTGGTGCTTGTACTATTGTATTACAGGATATGGTGCCTCAGTTGTAATCAGCCCAGACAGCACACAAATACTTCAGCCTTTGATTCCTGGACCATCTGGATAAAAACTGGTTAATTGGCAATGCTAATGTCATTTTCAGCTCAGTACAGTCAAAATAGTGTCAAATTTTCTCCCACAAGTACTCTCTATCTATTATGCTATTATTGGCCTGTATGTAATCATCTTTGACTCAGACCTTTCTCTAGCCCTTTATGGTCAGGCTATGTCTAAATCCGTCCATATAGCTAAAACTCCTATCTTCTCAAATCTCAATTACAGCAACATCTTTTCCCTTGGCCTTGAAAAATATAATCTTAATCATATTTATTGAGAACACTACTAGAGTGACCATTTTTCTTAGTCTGTCATTTTCACTGTGTTATTCCACTCTTTTCATCCCTGTGCTGGCTAAGCCTACTCTATGATGTAGACCTACCTGTCTTTACTTTAGAGACTTTGGCAGCCTGTCTACTTACCATTTCCATTCCCTGCTGACATCTAACTGCAGCTCCAACCAGCTCGTAGTGCCAGTTTTCACAGCCCACTTGCAATACATTTAAGTATGTTATTTTGTGCACTCTTTTCACTGCCTTTTATTTCCAAGGATCCTATAAACAGCCTAAAAATTTTCCTTAAAACTTTTCCTTCCTGTAATGTCTACAATAGTCACAGTTCATTATGCTGCCTCTCCTGCCCATATTCCTCAGTTTTCTCATTTCTTACATTGTAAAGTGTAAAAAGTATTGACCCTGATACACACAGGCTCTTGTAGCACTATGGTAATGCAAACAATAAATACACACGTAGAACTGAGATGCCGGGGGAACTAAGCTATTATGAGATTGATGATATCAAAGTGCAATTTGAGAGCACAACAATACCTGATAATAATATTAACTTGTTTTCCTACTATTCTGGAGAAAAAAAACTAAGTGGAGGTAGGGAGTCTGCATCTTTAAATCTAGCCCATAGGTCAGGTTAAAGATGATTTATGTCCATTTACCACACAATAATTTTCTCTTGCTGTTTTCAGTTGCTGTCATGACAGATAAAATGGAAAGGACAATACAGTGCTAAACATCATAAATCCATAAATGTGTCTGTATGTTCACATGTGTACATTTTTTTATTTCATGAAAAAGTTACAGTATATCAGTGATTCTTTTGCTTTTCTAGCACAGTGCCACTTACACCCTTTGTTTCCTTCATTGTCCTTTGCTAACCTGATGTTTATTTTTCTCTGCTAAATAAAGACCTCCAGATTTAATTCTGTTAAGCTGTATTTTAAGACCTCTTTAACCTATTTCTGCCTAGCTTTCCTCTCTATTAGCCTAATTGTTTTTTATCAAGTAACATGTCAACAAATAAAACACATATAGCACCCTAAAAAAATCTGCCCCTTGCTACTTGATTCACAATAGCAATAAGGTGAGTTATATAAGAGGCTTCTTGTATTTCTGGATCCTGCGACTCCCAGGGGCTCGAAATAGCAATTGTATTTTGGGAAGCATTTTTAGAAACACTGACTGAATACTTATTATTGTGCTTTCAGGCAGATGATAGCTCGCTTTTGGATAACTGGTTTGCGTACACAGCACTGCTGTGACCAAAACCTGACACTTGGCAACTGGTGCATACAATATACACACATACTGATTCCTTGTCTTCAAAGAAAATTAGTATCAGGTATTTGTTGATCCTATATTTAGGCAGGAAAAAAAACCCTTATTTTCTGCATGCAAATATTAGAAGCAGTTAGTATGTTTTATTTGAGAAATAGCTGCATTTCACAGAAAGGCAAACTCATTCTCATGTGTATCATACCTAATTTGCATAGTACATAAAGGCTTTAAGAGAACTAGAGCATTTGGATTAGAAGAACCAAACAAATGGGAGTTAGTAATATGTACTGAATTAATCGATCTGTTAGTGGAATTAATTATAGTAGAACAATGTCACAAATTAAGAGAAATAGAAGAAAATCTTCTTAAAGCAAATAGCACACAAAAGCATAAGCTTCCAGTACACTTTCTATTGCAAACTGCAATAGAAATTTATCTGCTAAATGTATAAATATAGCTTGTAAAAGAGAAGGACCCTTTAGACTAATACCTTGTAAGTGCTTTGCTTTTGCTCTGTGCTCTGAAGTTCTGTGAAGGGCTAAGGTTTCATTGAAATCCTGAAAGAACTCCAGTAACACAACTCAGGCAGCTGAGACTGCAGGAGTGAAGTGGGTGAAGTTAAAACACCTTGTAAAAGCAAAAGCATCTTGGCATCAAACAGTTTTATCAGCTGTGCAAGATGGACACCCAAACACCCTCCTCCTATTGTCAAGGTCCGCACATGTGAAGCTTTAACTACAGTAGTGTCTGAATCACTTAAAATTCAGCATCATTTTAAGTATGTGAATGAGCCACACACATGAGAGATAGGCTGTCACAGCAGAGTTAA